TGCCATTTAAGAAATATACAACTAGTATTTGTCCATATTATAGTAGAAATATGAAAGGTTTTAAAATATATAGGTAAATGGATAACATTAATGTATTTTTTAGACTTCGAGTGAAGACGTTAACAGACATGTGACATTTCTGCTGGTTTATACTATTGGTTCCACATCTAGTAATATTACCTGTGAAGCTCTGAACATACAGAATGCCACTTACGTTGTTACACCAGAAACTTATTATGAAAATACGGAGATCTATTCGACGTCACGCAACCTGCACAAGGTACCCAAAATGTCACTGACAATGTAATGCATTAAACAAAAGTTTAATTAATTAACATAAAGACTTATAACGGTGAATAATGATCAAGTGAATATATCTGCGTGTGTATAATATGTATTTGCAGTGTAGTTTTTAACATGTTTTTGCAATACATATTATATCTATTATCTCTTCATATTAGCATGCCTACATATCCTCTTTATTAAAAAAAACAGGTCAGTTGAAGATCCGGCCTTGACCGATACGGGTTAAGAAGATAATGAATCAGATATATGATCCAGTTTGAGGTTGAAGAAGAGGGTTCCATACGGATTAAAAGAAGCTTGTATCATCTGATAGTTATTCATATTATGTTAAAGTGTGAACATGTACATGTAAAGTTTACATAATCTTAATGTCTCATGTAAAACTTTTCCCTTATTCAAAGTTGTTTTGCAAGGAACGATATAGAATGTATGTCAAAATCATACTGGTGAACATATCTTATAGATTAAATAATAATCCAAAGAATAGTTTTAATTATAGTAGAGAAAAAATCATTTGAAATTCTAATTAAATTAAGATGCGAAAAATGCACTCTTTACATATGATTTGTTGGAGAGACAAGATCCCAGTACTTCAGTGGCCGTTGTAGTCCAACGTAAAGGCCGGAAACATTTGTTTACGCCAGTGGTGGCACAAGCGAGGCCGACATCTTCTGGCGAGGGAACAGGGCCTCACAAATCAACTCATCGGAAAAAATTGAAAAAGAGAAGTTATATTTCAAAGCGAAACGTAAGAACAACATTTTATTACATATTAACTGTGTGTCAGTTTCTACCAAAAAGAAAATAAACATCATTTAAATGAAAAAAAAAATATATATATTTTTACCATGATCAATGTTAAAATATTATACGGGCGCCAAAAACAGTGTTTAATGATACCATTTAATTTACAGATAAAACTAGATGCTTTCAGAGACGTATTTGCCCCAGCAGGAAAGGTTTATAAGCGGACACATTGTCAAAACTTTTGGAAAAGGTGATTTTGGTTTACCTCTTCCAGACTCAATGTTGAGACAGGTAAATCGAGCAAGACAGAAGATCCGGCCAGCAGAACCAACAACGTTAAATGACTTTGAGGCAAGTTTTTTTTTTGCCCTTCAAATATGTCATATTAATAGTGAAAACATCAATGGAATGATAATAATGAACGTTAAGAAAATAAGTTAATAAATATTGTTCGCTACATTTTATATAACTGTTAAATTTTTCTACAGTTCAACTGTGTCTACCTTGGTCAAGAGTTTTTTTGTTTCAACAAACGATTAGCTGCTTTTTCTTTTAAAGAGCACGGCAAGTGTATCTTGATGGTACGTTAAGAAAAGTCGTCGGGAAGCCGTTTACGCAATTATATGGAGCAATCCATGCCTTTTCTACACAAAGGAGAGACAATAAAACAAGTACCGCTTCTTTTCGTTATGATGTCTCATCGGCGGAAGCAAGACTGCATTGCTTTTATTTCTATCATTTATTATTCCCAATATGAATAAAATTTTCTTGAATTCAATTTGACTAAATTGCAGTTCATCCTAAAACTATTTTATAATACAGGCATTGGAGAAACCTCTTGATATCATGGATGAAACGCCGGTGGTGGAACGCTTTAATATGCCTTCGAAGCCGGTAGGTTTGATTTGATCACTTGTTTATTTAATTTGAACGAATAACACAATATAACTTGTTTGTATTGATATACTTATTATGAAAAGGATATTGAAAAATGCTTAAATGAAATAAATAATGATTTCTTTATTGCATAAACTATTCCAAAATTAAGGTTAACATAGTCTGATATGAAACATATTTCTTTCGGCACGACGTTAGATATAACAAGTACAGTTCATGTATATGGCAAGCCTTGCGAGAAATCTTTCCTGGCGCCAGTCTCAAAGGATGCGGTATTCACTGGGCACAGGCAATACAGTAACGAGTACAGGAGCTAGGTTTGATGACAACATATCTACACATAGAGGGTGTACATGAGATTATTAGAAAACTACTTGCTCTACCGTTCCTGCCTGGATGTGATATACCATGATCATTCATGAAGCTGTTCGACAAAGTTGATTGTACCTCTCAAGGGCTTGTAGACCTATTCGAGTAAGTAAATGATCAATGGCTGGAGAACAGTTTGTAGTCTGCAGAAGAATGGTCTGTCTACCGACAGACTGTTCGTACCAACAACGATACAGAGGGTATGTACTATTTTCGTTATTAATATAAAATAGCGAGTAATTAAGTAAAATAATATTTCAATTTTATACAAATAAAGTCGTAAATGATTTTTAATAAAACCTTATTATTGAATGTGACACAAAAATAAAATATAAATACATCGGAGAATTTATTTTGCACATTTTTAAGTAAACTGTTTTTGTTTCATTTGCTTATATTGTATATACGTTGTTATTTTTCTAGGATGGCATAGAGTCTTAATAGCCAGGCTGGTCGAAGCGTGATTCCCTTCTATGTTCTTCTTACGTTACTACTGCAAGAGACAAAGCTAGCGAACATACATCTACAATTGGTAAAAGGGGCTGGGGGTCCCGGGCGCTATCGAAGGGAAAAGTAAAAGAAAAATGGGAAAAAAAGTGATGGGAAACCCATGGGAAAATGTCTGACCCCAATTTAAAGTTTATTTTTGAGGAGTCCCTTCTAGAAAAGCGTCGAAAATTTCGGAAACTTTTAAAAAAAAAGCAAAAGGGGCAAAAATTTGGAAAAAAAAATTAAGAGATGGGAAAAGCAATTTAAACAGTTTCAAAAAAGGGAAATATTGATAATATTTTTTACTTTTTAAAAACATGTTTTATAAAAAAAAAAAAAAGGGTTGGAAAAAAAATTGCCCGCGTATTCTAGTATTGTTTTTTTAATGTTATGCGTTTATCAAAGTATATTTAAATTTTTGTTTTTTCCCTTCCCTTTTAAATAACAAACATAAAGACTAATAAACGGGTGAAAAAGTTTTAACCCCATCATTGCTTTGTGTTTTTTTTTTTAAAAAACACGAAACTTTTTCCCTTAAAAAACAAAAACATTAAATTTAAAGGGGGCGAAATGTCCGGAAAAAATGTAAGGAGTCTAAAGGTCCCCTTTGGGGGTCTAAATGGGCCCGGGTTCGAGATGTCCTTTGGGGTAGGTGTCAAAAAAGGGCCCAGGTGCCAAGGGGGGCCTTTAATGTCATTGTCCCCTTCTGGCACCCCCCAACCCAGATGGGAAATTTCCCGGGATGATAAAAACCATGGAAAATCAGTAAAGCATGTAAAAAAGAAAAAAACAAAAAACAAAAACAAAAACGTTTTTTCAAATTTTTGTATTTAAAAATTGTTAAGGCAGTTGCATTCAAAGACGTGAGCTTTAAAAATAATAATTTACAAATTATTCTTATATGATTTCAGCAGATGGTACAAAATCTCGAAACAATATTTCCAGTTCCATCTTGTCAAAAAATCCTCAGTAGAGTCCGTTTAAGGCTACTATAAACGATATTATGAAAAATTCAATTTCCAGAATAATATATCAATGGTGAATGTTATATATTAAAAAGGAAAATATATTCTTGTACTATTCTTGTCAATTTGTCAATTTCCTTGTCTGCGTGAAGTCTTCTATTTAGAAACATTTCTGACAATTTGCACGATTACGGCGACACTGAAAAACAATTAATTTCCACCTACCTTCTGTTTTAAAGTCTATACTTTGATAAAGTCAGAATTTCAAAAGGTCAGTTTCGACAGTGTGCTTTTACCGCAGTGCTTCAACGCAAAGTTTTGGTAAAAGAGAACGAAAGGTAATAGATATTAATTTGATAAAACTAATTTAAATTGTATGCTTATCTATAATGATAACTTATCAGGAAAAATATAAGTGTTTCAAAAATGTCGTCAATGTACACTTGCGATATACAACATTTCCCTTAGATCCCGCTTCATTCGGTCATATTTGATATGAAATTAAAGTAAATTAAACGTGAGTTTTAAAGCTTTGAATCGATCGGTTCTCCGCTTGTTGTATTACCAAAATGACTTATAATCAAGTGGTACGGGCACATTGTTAGATTCTGTATCGATATACGGCCCCTAAGTTTCATTGCAGCAGGACACCAAAAAGTCATTGTACACAATAAAAAGTACATAAATCTGTCAACTCACAATACATATGTATCGATGGCTTTGTAAGACTGTACACATATACCTTTTAGCAAAACTAAAAATGTTAAGACAAACAAACACTAACGTGTATCTTTAAGTAAGGTAAATAGTGGGATCATAATCATGCAATCGCCTAACATTGGATTAAAATATGTGTAAAGCTGTAATAACGATGTTCTATTTTCTATTTTAATCCATCGCACTAAATCTTATGTAATGCTTAATATATACTCTCAAAATAGGGCTGAAGACAGTTATATTAGCCTGGGACTAAAGGTCTAAGACTAATATAATAGCCTAAATCCCAATAACAAGGCCATTATGAAAAGGCTTAAATATTGACAATTATAATTATTAACTGCACATTATTTAAAACGGTTAAGTACTAAGTGAACAAAAAAAGCTTATGTGTATTCCGTTGTTGTAAGGTATTGCATATGAGATTCTTGTTTCAAAAAGTCTCGTAAACCTACCTATCTTACAGTAATTCAAGTTAGTAAAAAAACATATTCTGGAAGCCAATCAAAATTCTCCAATCTAATAATAGCCGAGTTTTCTCATAAAGGCCGTACTCTTTGCATAATGGCCTTTTTATGTTCATTATGTCGTGGTGAACTTCAATATTAGTTTTACATTTGAAATGAATACGTGTCCAATATAGAAAAGTTAATTAATAATGAAATACACTGATCATGTTCTGTTATTCTACCAATGCAAAACAAATATGGCCATATTTTATCATTGGAAATTAACTACACAGAAAGCCCTTCAAAATAATACTTTCTGAAATGCGACAGTGTAGGACTTAATTCAATCAATTTGAAATAAGTAATTAAAGTTCATAATTGCAAATGCGCATTGTTTACGGTACACGTTGGTGCTGAATGATTCCATCTAAAACATGAGAAATGCTTAATATCCTAATATTTGTTGGTGTGTTGTCAATATTAGTAGCTTGATTTATGTTTATTATACACTGCTAACTTAATGGTAAAGACTTTGGCGGTTAAGATTATATATTACATTGAAGTTGATACAGACAGATTTGTAGAATATTGTAGATATATTAACAGTCGTAAAGATATGGACGTCTTCAAATAAGTGTGCAATAATGTATCAAAGCAAAAAATGAACATTCTTTTATGGCGTATTTTGCTTATTTAGTGAGAATCCAAAATCTTTATTGTAGACGGTCTTAACCTCGATACTTCTTGTTTTCAATACGCTTATTAGATGTTGTTCATCACTTACATCAATACATTCATGATTATACTCGCTAAAGTCGTTTTATTTAATACAGTTACAACACAATTCTTCAATAATTCAATATTTTACAATAAGAGTACGACAATTTTTCAAAACACTAGCATTTGTTTTTCAATATAAATTGCATTTATCTCCCGGATTCATGAAGGATCCAACTGGACAATTCCATGCCTCTGCAAATTCTTTACTGTTCTGCATTTGAAAGTTTATTCTGCAATAGAGGATACACTCAAAAGTACGTGATTTGTTTATAGCGATATCATATGTGAAATGTATGTTTCAAAATGATAGTATTCAGGTATAACAAGCGATTTTTTATACTTAACCTCTAGCAACATTTTTGTCTCTTCTAATATCCAAAGGCAAACACTACCGTACAAAGCTTTCAATTGGGACAACCATTATACTAGAATAATACTGGAGACAGAAATGATTTAAAGGCTCAATAATCCTTTGCTAATTTTGCTTTGAACATTTAGTACAGACATCTGTTTTAGAATTGTGTATGGATTATGCTTCATTTTGTTCCTTATATGACAAATGGATTTCATTATGTGCCTATTTCTTCAAAAAATTGGCATTTAACATTCTCTTTAACTGTTATATCGCCTTTCTACATTAGATAATGATTTTTTTCTGAGGCATAATGTGCATTTAATCGGGTGCATGGATTTTCATTGTCTTTGATTTACTTTACTTATTTTTGTTTTGTTTTGTTTCATGACGCATTTCACACAAAACTAGCAAGTCTACGGCTATCTGCTTGCTGGACAAACCTTAATAGTTTATGCTGCCTTCAGTTTGAATTAAAAATAAAAAAACCGTTTCTTTATGTTTCGTAAGAGTGAAATGCGCATGTGCGAAAATATGCTTACGCATTAACATCATGTTATAAATATTTGCATTTTATTATGTTCCGCTTCGTAAAATAATTCTTTTGTGTAAGATATTAGAGATATAATGTATTCTACCTTTAAACGTTCAGTTTTGTATAAAAGTCTAGCTTATGAAGTGCAATGTTTCTGAAACTTAGCATCGGCTTAAGCAGTATTCAGTTTTCATTACGATGAACCCGAGAGACTATGAACAAATGATCGAACATTTCCTCTACATATATCACCAATCATTTTAAAGAATTATTTAGAGAAGAAACATAATTTAATGGCAATTGTAATTGCATAAATCAATGATGGCCGTACATTTCTAAAAGCTGCCAACGTATAAGGTTATTATTAAGAATTCTCTTGATAAGCTGGAGTTGGTTACAACGAATATGTCAACTGGCTGGTTTTATTACCTTATACTTTCCACGGGATAATTTGAATATCTGACCAATGATATTCTCTTTTTTCTTCTGAGTTTGCTGCATTGGTCCTTGAAAAAAAAAGTAAAAATTTATATTTCAAATAAAAGGACATTTTATATATATTCGGAAAAGGGTTCACACTACTTTGATACCCCTATACTGATAACAGTACCTTGAAACATAATAATAACTACAAGATGAGTCCATGAATTAGCTGAACTCACCTCCAGATCTACATTAGTGCTGGTATTCAATACTTGAATCACACTGTATGACTAACAAATATCTGAACGAGCGAAATTGTTGTTTTTCGTATGATCTCAATGTTCTTCATTTTCTAAAAGGTAAAAGAAATTTACTTACAATTGCACTATTAAGAAAAAATAATTGCTTTGGCGAATATTGAAGTCCTGGTAATCTTTTCTCATCTTTGCCCTGTCCTATTTTGTCTTCAGCCACTGCATATAAGCCTAGAATCAGTTATTTTTAAATAATGATTGTAATAATTTTATAATTGGGTTATTATTATTATTTCATTATTATAATAAATAATTTATTTTAATAATTTATAATTATGTTGGGTGATTTTTAAAGTTTTTTTGCCATTGTTTCCTTTTGTTATAAAGATTACGTGTTTATTTTAAAGAAGATTACATTGCCTCCCTGACTATTTTCTAAATATTTTTTATTGGATAAAAAGTAACACTTGAAGCAGGTACGCCCATATTAATATACGTACCTACTTGAAAGCATGGTCGGAATATAAACTTATGATATTGAATAACATCTTTTTAATGAAGCTCAGACTTTGGTTATAACCTTCAATTAAAATAGATAAGTGAGCAAAGCATAACAATCATAAAATAAAAACTTTCTACAATGATGGTTTGGCAGGAAACATGGTATTTTAATCTTTATTTATAATGATAAAAAATGTTGCTTCGCCTGCAACATAATATCACCATATAACTATTTTTTGAGTCCTTCGTGGTCGGCAAGTGTTTCAGCTAAAGTCCTTTCTTCATTAGTCTGTGCAGGTAGAAAAATAATTGTATTGGTACTATAATATGTTTTTTATTAATTTAAAGATATGACAAATTTTAGGTATGAAATATTTTTTTTTGAATTGTGAATTTCCAAAATCAACAGAGTTAATTGAACAGTTATGTTGAAACGGTATGTGAAATATGAGGACTTTGTAATAAACAGTTTTTTTAAGACAATTAGCGAAAACCTTGTGGTCTACTGACGGACAGACAGACCGATTGAAGCAATAACCAATCAGCTTTTATCTACAAATCAATTTGACTGTAAAACATAAGATTGTGCAACATTTATTTTTTTTTTTTTACCAAAATGGACAGTTCTATTCGTTATCTTAAATCTTCTGCATTTTTTGTAAAAATGCCAGTATCAGTAACAAAAATCATTGGCATGAACTGGGAAAGCGATTTTGACTTATAAGTTTCATCTTTCTGTTCCAATGAAAAATAATAAAAGAAATGATAATGTAATAACTGAATTATTTCTGGACCCGAAAAATATTATTATTTTTTACTTTTTACCACAGACGATTTAGTTATCTAAAGTGTAAATGCTTTGATTTAAATGGCGTGTTACAGCACCCTTGTGCCACAGCACTTAGTTATAGTCAAAATTTGGTACTACCAATAAATGTGTAAATTGTTCAAAAAAAAAATCAATGTTCCAAAGGTTTTAATTTACAGATTAAATTTTCATAGGGCAAATCTATAATTATCCGAATAAAAATAAATGAAGTTTAAAATTGATCACACACCACGTCATAAAGGTATGTCCTAACTAAATATGCAAAAGAAAGTGTGTACTTCTGTTTCTGTTAAAAGGAATTCAGTAAAATAATAAATCTTAGGCTCACGTCTACGCAGTCATCAACATAGGTATTGGTTTTATATTCCATTGCTTAAAGGTATTAAAATATGAAAGATTAAACTGTACGTATATATGTTGAACTTCTTATTTAACGTTTTTTTTTTTTTTCTATGGGCCTTTGACTAAGATTTATTTGATATTTGAGGTAAAATGTGATTTACAAAAAGACTTTGACAAAGATCCATAGTTTTCTGTTGAACACGAAAAAATTAAGAAAAAATAAAAGTTTTTTTTTTTTTTATATTTACGGAGAGGGGGATATTCATCATTTGAAAACACTCCTTTAAAAACAAAAAGTGATTTAATTTCTTTGAGTTATAATTTGGTGTTTTGTCAAGTTGTTTCAAATCGTTATTACTACATGCCGATTGGAAATGGGTATTGACATTTATTTCTAACACTGTGTTGAGAAAATGCAAATGCTTATAAACATTATACAGATTATTTTTTCATATTCTGATTCAATGATAAATGACAAAATGTACCATGTGATTTTTGGTATCATGTATAACTAAGTAGAAATCGATGTTTTGACTTAATGCTAAAATATATTATTTTGTCTAATGAGGAATATGCTATTGTGTGTATCACCAGAAATTGTGAGATATGTGTGTTGAGTATTAAATTATGAATAAGTATCATTTTTGGAGCCACCCTCTATGGTTTATCCCATGATACTAAACAATGATCAAGACTGGATTAAGATAAATGCTGACAGATTTGTGTCATTTCATTATGTTACAACCATTAAAACCTGATATTTCATAGGAATGTATTTTTCAAAATTCATCTTTTAAATATGCCAATTGTAACATCTAACATGGCATGATAATGAACTGAAAAATTGACATTGTTATTCTTTAATATCATACTTCATCATTTATTTGTAAATTTTCAATGGTGTAACTTATGTATTAGCGCCGGAGATCTCATTATGCAAAAAAAGACTTCTTCAAACAAATTTAAAAAAAAATGCGTGTGTGTGTGTGTGCGGAGCGGTGCACAATACTTCAAATTCCACCAGTCCAGGTACGGGTGATGTTTGCTGATCGGTATCTACGAACACTGAGCTCTTTTGCTAAAATTCATTCAATGTCTCTCTTTTGACCACAAAACCTCTGATTAGCATACATCTTTTATATATGGTAATGCCTATATAAATAACAAAAATGCTGGGTTTTCGTAAATTTAAAATTTCATGATTTTTAGACTAAACTTCATGTACGACGAAAATTACATTTGATGAAAATAACCTTAAATGTGACTAAAAATATACCATAAAGAAGTACGAAACTCAGTCACGTTTCCAAATCTATTTTCAGTAATTGTTTTAATAAAACTTTCTTATCTATGGTTTTTACTATTAAACGTACCATGTCTTTATTTTGTTTTGTTTGATTAATCCTTAATTTATCTTTGTTTTGTTCCTGCGTGTTTATGTGTGAAATGGCTGGAATTACGTCATATCAATATCGTCAAATAGGTTAGATGATGACTGTGGAAGTCCTTTCGTACATAACCCATTTATTTGCATAAACGGGCCCCATACTTCTGTCATATAGCTAAGATATCTTTCTATGGACAAGTGGTTTGAAAAGCCCGTCCCAACCCTTTTTATTCGCGATTCAGAAAACTTTTTACGCATTCAATAGTTAAGAAAATGGTGAACTGTATACAATACAAAAAGGATGTGGTGCTATTCAATTGATACCAATAATAGAAAATTGTACATTTATAATGACCAAGCATCTTTACCTTTATTTTCAAATGCATGTGCGATTTCATGACCGATGAGAGCTCCAATACCTCCATAATTCATATACCTGAAACACAAAATTGAGCCGTGTGATGACAAAACCAACATAATGGGTTTGCGACCAGCATGGATCCAGACCAGCCTGCGCATCCGCGCAGTCTGATCAGGATCCATGCTGTTCGCTATCAGTTTCTCTACTTGTAAGCAAACAGCATGGATCCTGATCAGACTGCGCGGATGCGCAGGCTGGTCTGGATCCATGCTGATCGCAAACCCATTATGTTGGTTTTGTCGTGACGCGGCTCTTGATATAACAGTAAATACAAAATTCAAATGCTTAAACTATTTTCATATGAATTGTTTATTCATTACTTGCAGCTTCTACTTTTATAAGCCTTAAACATAATGATATCCGTTCTTTTACAGTTGTCTGGGTTTTTGTGCAGCACAAAGTATTTCAATTGTTATGTTTTGCCTCATTTCAAACGTGTTTGGTGTCATAACCTATACATTTGTATTTTTTTTCTAAAAAGTGTTTTATAGTTATCTAGAATTTGAGGAATCTTCTAGTTTTCAGAATTTAGCAGCAGTAGAATTATTAAGAATCTGATGGAATTTAGAAAAAAGAATGTAATCAGAAGATCTGGAAAGATACCAATGTGTACATTTTGTTTGTTTTGGGTTTTTACGTCACATCGACGCAGTATAGGTATATTGCGCTTTTCCCGTTTACTGGGGGAGGAAGAAACCCCAGGGGCCCTTTGTGCATTTTTCAGGCCGAACGGGGGATGATGAACCCCCGAGTTCCCCTAAACTAATCGTGTTTACATAAAAAAATCCAAAATCCCGTTGGGGCAAAACCCACAGCGGTGAGGGGCAAGTGATTTAAAGTCAACGACATTAACTCCTCGGCCACGGACGCCCCACCAATTTATATATATTACGGTAGACTATCAAAGGGGGTTACCTTACGTTATATTTGGTCAATATTATGTAATGTCAATGTTATCTAATGTCAACGTTATCTAATGTCAACGTTATCTAATGACAACAATCTTTTATTCAGCCAGGATTAGTATAATTGCGTGATAATGAATGTTTGATTTTATTTATCTGTCAATTGCAGTGTATTAATCTTCGATAAATTGTCGGTAAATTTTGTTGGATGTACGCAGTAGGGTGTGTTTGAATTTAACTTGTTTCTATAAAATAGTTAAACTGACCGTTATAGAGCAATAAGGTAACCTACGGGATGTCGTACGTGTTGACTGATTGACACCGCTTGTGACATAGATGCCAGTGAGACTTTTAAAAAAACATACTCTATATAGTTGTCTATTCCATATTCTATCACTCCACGCGAGACAAAGAAGAAAAAAAACGGTGTTAAACTACCAATTAACACTGGTCAGGGACTACTTGTATATGCAGCTGTTAGTTTTTTTCCCTTGATTATATAGTTAACAAGGCCCTTTAAAGCAACAATAAAAAGTATTTTTATTTATATTTTCAGTCCTTATAATGTTTTCCTTTCATACAATACCGAAAAAATATCTTACACACACTAACGCCACATATTTGATTCATATCGGTTATTAAATATCTTGGCAAAACGGCGCCAATCCGTAAGCAGCGTAATGTCGTCATCCTTATTAAACAACTCATTCATAAACAAGCTGACGTTATTAAATACATACAAAAAGATAATGGGGCACTGATGAAAACACAATACGACGTAAGAAACATGATTAAAATTAACGTTTTTCTTTTTATTTCTTTTTTTAAATAATTTCTGTATCTTCGCAAAAGAAGGGTGCGAAAATCGATCAGCGTTATACGAAAATCGGCACCGGAAGTTATTCCCGCTTGAAAAAATAACATTAGTGATCTTCCTTATTTTATCGTGTTAAAATCGAAATAACATCGGCCTGAGAGTGTATATCGGCCATTTAACACCGATTTTGTCGTTTTGATGCGAAAAAAAATAACCACCCAAAACGACAAAACCTGTGTTAAATAGCTATAAATCTCTCAGGCCGATGTTATTCTTTAATCAATTATCTTAAACTATAAGGAAAAACTGAAGTGTGGTGACAGATATTTTAATACATACATTATTGACAGGTTAATAAAACCAGACTATAATAAAATCATAACATTATTTTGAATAGTTTTTTGGATATTTAACTTAGTTTTCATGTGATAATGACATCAGTTTTATATTTTGTGGTCGTGGTTTATGGTTTATATAAATACTATTTGAATTGTAACTTTTTTTTGTAAATATTATATTATTATTCAAAGATTTTTGCTGGCTTTTCTTTCTCAATTCGCGATGTTCGTAACACAATATTAAGATTAATAGAATCTATCATTGGGCTAGATAGAGGATAGGGAAATCCCAACCCGAGGGTAAGTCTTGGCGAGTTCCCGATGGAGCCGATTGCCCGAGGGTTGGGATTTCCCTATCCTCTATCTAGCACATGGATTGATTATTTTTCTCACTAACCTGGTCTTAAAATATAAGAAAAAACAATTTTAAGTGGTAATTACTTTTTTATGCGCAATCACATTATTGGCCGTTTTACAGCCTCGTTTTCAACACACAAAAATTCAACAAGAAGAGCGCAAACAACTGTGCGTGAAAATGAGTAAATACACCATTCAGATGGATTTAATCTGCGATATATTAATCACAAAACAATAAAATGATTGCTGAAACATGAAAATCTACAATAAAAAGTATGTGTCATGGATTTGTTCTATGAATAATGCGATGAAATGTGATAAATTCGAAAGTGCGATTTTTAGTAAATTATTAAAAGTGACAAAAAAAATGTTAACTATTCAATTTAAATAACAAGAAATAACACGGTGAACAATTAATGATTACAAAAAAAGATGAAATAAATGGAGAGAGTCGTTCATGTGGTATTAGATAAATAATGCGATGAACAGATGAAATGAGGTCAAATTTGAAAAAGCTATTTTTAGTAACATGTGGTGTCCATGAACTGAGAACTGTCAACAATATCCATCAGTTGATAAATATTTTGTCAGTTTTATTCAAGACGTTGGCGTTTGGGTTGTTCTATGTGAAGATTAATATTGAATGTTCCACCGTAGATGTTTGAGTGACTGAATACAGAACGCAAAGCCAAGTTTGTATCAATATTCATGGAGCTTTCAACTTCAAGGGACTGACTACATGTTTGAGAAATCTGTTGTACATGAGCAATTTCATTGGGTCTAGTGATGTTCTCCTTGTCTGGCTGAGTGGTAGATAGAATCCTAGACATAGAATGTTGTTGCCTGTTGGAAAATGTCCTGTAATTGTTTAGAGAGTGTGGATTTTTGTGTCCAGTGACATGGACAGCATAGGTATCTGGTACATTGCTGTCCAGAAGTGTCTGACACAAGTGTTTTCTGACATTTGTGTTTGAGAGGCGCTTGAATTGGAGATCAGGTAGGTTTGCTTTCACTGCCATACTTTTTAGCAGCCGGTTTATTTGTTAACTGCTATTGGTTGTGAAAGAAACCATCTTTCATTGTATGTAGGATTGTCATTATTTGTAACAATAGATAGATAAAAAGGACTTTCATTGCTCTTCATAGTTGAAGGTCTTTTTTCTGCATATTTTTTGTAGACTTCAATTGGGCAGCGGCCTACAATATTTGTAGCATACATCCTCGGGTGTGTCTTTTGAATACTGTGAATGTCTTCACCAGTGCGAGTTTTCGTCTGTCTTTCATTAAATTGTAAATACCCCTTGCCTGTAAATTCCATAAAAGATTTTCTTAACATATATAATAATTAGTATTTTGTTATATGATTAGCTACATGCTAATGCAAATCTTCATTGTATCCAGTATAAAATATAATAGTATTTATCATTTTTATTCAATAACATGATATTTTTCTCTTTAAAAGAGTGATCAAAATATCAGGATGCTAATATTAAATAAAATGCTGTTACTGGCAATGGCTTAATCTATGATTAACCTGTTTTCTAAGTAAATAATGTTTTGTTTTAAATTATTTAATTACACCTGGTAATAAATTTAAACTGTTATTTATATTTGATGTTATACATATACATGTATGTTGGTCAATAGCTAGGTACATAGCGAATATTTTCTATTCTATTTTGATATATGAAAATATTCCTGCTTATAGCGATGTAATATGTATATATAACATTCCGACAATAAATTAAATATTGACTTGACATCACTGTCAAAGCAAAGGGTAATAACACCCCAACATAGCTGTCTGTGTTCACTGCCACCACCTATCATTACAAAATGTAGAGTGTTGTTCAGCCATAGAGTGTTTATAAGTGCAGCTGGAGAAGAAGTACCCAACTGTCTTGAGGTGTACAGAAGTTCTACTTCATCATTATTGATTGTGTCTGCTGCTTTTGGTTTATTGCCACGGCCTTGTTTTTTTTTAAGTCTTTTTGTTTACACTTCAATACTTCACGAAACTTTCCAAGTTCATACCCACTAACTAAACTTAATCCATAATTGTGTCTTTTCAGATATCTTTCAAAACTGCTGATCATACTACATAGTGTGACTGGTTCATATTCATCCCCATTCTTCTGGCGTACACTGACAATGAACTGACAAGCTGATTAGCAGGGATTTCATGAATTTTTCGATTTTCATTTTCATCAACAAGGTATGATTCAAGGAGTCTTTGATGTGATATTGTTTTTCTTCTTGTTTGTTCATTTTCATTCTCTTTGATATAGTCCTCAATTTCCACAGGAGGTGCAAACCTTTTACTTTGAAGTGTTCTGGAAATAATTGGCATTTTAGATCCTGTTTTTGCAGTAGCAGAAGTTGTGCTTGGAGTCTGGTTAAGAAAAGCATTTTTATTTATTTTTTCATGGGGAGGTAAAGAAATGTCAAACAAAAGGTTGTCCAGTTCAGAGCTGTCAAAAGTGTCTAGAATTGAAGATTCAAACAAGCCACCAATGCATGAAGATTCAGGCTGGATGATTGCATTTGAATTGCCATTGTTTTGAATAATAAATTGACTGTACATGTGAGAATTCAACATCATTAAATCATCAGAAAGACCTTTTACCAGTTCATGTTTTGCCAGTGTAAAAATTTGACCATCATTGAATAGTTGTACCTTATACATAGCATAGGTACCAAGTGGATGTATTATATCAACTATTTTGCCCTTTCCACCATTTAAACCGCAATTTACTGTGTCACCAACACGAAAATTTACTTTTTCCATCTTATTTGTTTGGCGTTCTTTCTATCATGACAAAGGAAGTAACTCCTATTTGTTTACATATTAAGTTATGCTATATTACTCACCGTTTGTTGGTGCGTAGGAATACGAAAAGAAGTTCCCACGTGGAGTGTGAGATCAGCCCGTGTGAGATAAGATTTTCCTATACCGCTATTTTTAGTAACATTTAGGGATTTTTCTATCTGGTTAGTGAGAAAAATACTTCCTCACCATTCAAGAATGATAAGCATGCGCTTATTTATGAACTGTTGATAAAGTCTCAATGTTATGAGAAATACACGCAACATAAAATCGTTAACCCAAAGGCTTTATTCGACACTCATTATTTTTGATGGAAGAGATAATAATAAAAAGTAAATTCTGCATTTTTCAAATGTTATTAAAATAAACAATTGATGACATATGGAAACCGTCCAATTTATCCATATTTAATTTAGAATTATGCAATAATTAGTGTCAGGGTACGTCTTAAGGAATCTTGATTTAAGATACAATGCAATGTCTGCTATTTGGATAAAATTTCAAGAAAATAACACTTTCGAATAAATAAAGTACTTACTTTGGACTATCATCCGAATAAATACCTGGTTGAAGTACTCCGGAATAAAAAACTAAAATAAATAAAGACATCACAAATTGGAAAATTTAAAACAAGAACGCGTTTGTTGAACACAAATTTCCCCTGCTCCCCCGGTTTTCTTATACACCCAGTTATGTACAGACAAAAGAATCCAAAGGAATTTGCAAACATTGTTTAATAACTTGAGTCATGGCATTGTGTACTTGTGAAAAATATAAGTTGGCAAGTCATTTCTGTTTCTTGTGATGAATTTGTAAAGTTTTCAAGTTTATAACATAATATATTATTGCAAGACTTCATCATGTACCCAGATACCCAAATTATCATCACAACTGAAAGGACTACCTGTGGAATGTTCATTTCGAATATCAACCATTTGTACAACAAAAAATGTTGGATAAAAGTCAAGTGACATGGACCTTGTGATTCCCAGCACTAGACCACCCAAAGTATGTGCCTTTCAAAAATGATAAACACCAATCTTAACATTTGTCAATAAATTAAGGCTGTATTAGCAAAATAATAAAAATCGATAAATACCACTGCTGGCCGTGACCTTTCTGACCCTTAGATCTAAAGAAAGCCGAAGACACCAGTTTTATGTCCCTAACCTTCATAAAGAAACTTTCAATATAATATGGTAAATACACCTGTAAAAGTGTAAAATTCTATTTTTGATAATGGCGACATTGACCGTGACCTAAGTGACACTTAACATTGTTTTAAACATGTATAAATAAATACTGTATGAAGGCTGTATGAGCTGAACTGTTAAAATTTGATTTTTACACCAGTGACCTTAACCCTAGAAATACCATACTCCACAAAAAATAAAGGACCATTAAAGGTATCAACTTACCAAATATTTAAGATATCATTTTATAAATAATGTAATAGGGTGAAACTTGAGATTGAATCAAAATTAGCCGAAATAGATTAACCATACAAAGCCCTTTTTTAAAAGTGATAAAAAAGAAAATAACCGGGGAAATGGATGGCAAAGTTAAATTACTTGGTCATATCATGAACTTTGTACTGATAACTAAGTTTGGAAAATACAAAGCCAATTAGTATCATAGATAAAACTTAAGATTCATCCAACTTGTCGGTTTGAGTTAACCAATTATTCATTTCGAAGTGATGTAAAGGACATGAACTTGGTAAAATGTAAGCCATGTTTATGTTACTTGCCCTTGCCATGTGCTGGAAATTGATCAGTAAGTGTGTAAATTATGAAGCCATAAGTATAGATAGAACGTAAAGAAATATAGGCTAACCTCTCATTTACAAACTGAAAAAAAAGGGACAGACAGATTCAAATAATTTGCCTGGGGACTTTAAAAGAAAATGCATGGATAAGGTTTTGCTAAACATTGTTAAATTTACACAACTTCAACTAAAAATCGTAAGATTAAGTATCAATGTCACAAAAAAACTAGTACACCCACCTTCCCTCTCGCCCAAGACATTTATGGAAGAAAAAGTTGCAGAAAGAAACGCAATTGACCTGATTGAAAATGAAAACAATTTTACTGAAAACAGTTTTTAGTACACGTGTTTATATATTTATAATTTTTAGTTAAGTAACGCTTTTTCAATTTGATGTTTCCATTAATATAAACATCGCGAAAGTATCAAATTGAATATCAATCGAAGATAATTTAGATATTAATAATGCACAAACTAACCTAGCGTTTTTCATCAAAAGTTCATAAAAGCTACATAACTCAATTGATTTTTGCCAAGTTTCCACTTATTACACACAAAAAATGTCAGTTTTATTACAATTTAACTTTTGACTGCCGACCCCGAGTGAATTACTCCAAAATGCCATTTTGAATACAATAACAATTAATTGAAATTGTTTACTTAACAAATCTAAAAAGCTGGCACTTCAGTTTAACAGTATATCATGGTTTTGTATTGTTATTATGTCGCGCTATTTCAACCATTCATAACTTTAATAAACTATAAAATAATTCCTTCTTGACGATAACTTCAATACCTTAAATATTTAAGTGATACTTACAGATTGTATTTAGACTCAGTGAATTATATGCATTTATTTCTAACGTTGAAGACTTCCACCTGAAAGGTTATCATTTATAGATATTAGAATCGAAACACCCAAGTGTTTTTGTGCAATACGTCTTTACATAATAAAGTTTACACTATTTAAAATAAATAAATAAGTTTGAAGTTTGTTTGCGAGTAAGCGTTGATGACAATTGTCAATTGTGTATGTTTTGCGTGACCTTGTGTTCATCTGTTATTTTTTTATTTATGAATAAATAAAATTAGTTAAACCAATTTGTTTGAATTTCACATTAAACATTTAACCCAATCACTAATTAACACGTTTTTTGTTGTTGTTTTGCTTTTTGTCTTTTTTGTCTTTTTTTTTTTTTTTTTTTATATAAAAACTACCTCATTGCCTCATCTCCGATCACATAAAGTATTTTTGTCGTTTATACGATTTTGCTCTCTGATACGTATGATTATGATCGTTTAGGCTAATGAGCTGTGATACATAAGTTATATTAAAACACAGCTAATTTTTTAATAAACTAAATCATTCTGTGTTCACATTCAAAACACAATATATATCTAACTACGATTATATCAGAGTCAAATAGTATTATCAGGGATAAATCTATTTTAAAATCAGTATTTCGTTTGAATGGACATTTTTAACCACACTTTAATACATAACAAAATCAGTTTTTTAAAGGCAATGATCACAGGCGTTCATGTCAATAGTTTGATTTATTAACCATTGATTTTGATTCTTACTTTTGTCCGGACGTAAAGACTGTAGCAAATTTCTTTAAATTCAAGGACTATCATTAAAGGCACAAGAAAATAACTTTACACAGTATCTTTTTATGTTGTTCTAAGCAATTTAACTTCATTAGACTTTTCTGCCCTGGTCATACTCACAGCTGTCTGGAGAGGATTGTCGGTGTTGACTTTAAACTAAAATAACAAAATAACAAACTTTTATTAGAAAAGGAGTTTCATTTTTAAATTGATTAAGTTATTATGTAATAAAGATTTAATATGAAAACGAACACATAAAAGTCGATGTTTGTGTTGCCAAATTTAGCTTGGTTCCATCTCGTACAATAGTCATAATAATCAAAAGTCGTTAAACTGTTGCAAAAGTGTTTTCATATGTTTTATGAAAACATTAATGCTGTGACCGGTTAATGATTCTATTAAATATTTCTTTATTTTCCTATCTGATTCTGTTATTTAAAACATTTTAGTTTGTCTTTTTTTGCTTTGTTTCGTTTTTTGGTGTTGGTTTTTTTTCAACAAAAGAAAAAAAATGGAACAGAATTTAATACATTATTAAACTTACGTTTTTGTGAAGCTGATTAAGATATGCATCATTGAACACTTCTTTGGGATACCCAACCTCAACTTTCATTGAATCAATCTATATGCAAACAAATCAATAAGTCTGAATATCATTATGATTTTAAAGTACTTATAGCATTAAAGTATAAATCTAGATTTCAACCCAACATGGGTAAAATTTATCGATTATCTGTACTGCATTATACAAGTCTTAGTAGTCAGAGACACTTATTAAACGTCAATGCCTATCTTCATAAACATAGAGTTAAATGATAACACGCACAAATATATAATTATGTTGACATTGTAGTTTTTTTAATTTCTTTTACCTTTTCTTTTGCAGCAGTCTTTGCTGTATCCGATATCCATTTGGCATTCTCGATTATATCTTTAAATACTGACTTGTGTTGATCTACTAAATCTAAAATCTAAGTGAAAATCATATTAATATAATTATGCATTGAGTTTCTATCTTATATAGTGGGATTATTACAATATTTATGAAAATATGTACGGTAAAGAGTGAAAAAATGAAATTAATTAATCTTAACTTGTTCACGAAAGCATTGACGGACATCAAATTACTTTTAACTATCTCATAATTTCAAACATAAAAAGCTTATACTTATGCAAATAAACGAGAGGTTTAAAATAAAAAAGGATTATGCACAAAATATTTTGATGTTCTTTAGATGCAAAGAGATAAATGGGTACTGTATTTGCTACTTGTATATAGAATTTCCTTGTTGATCTTGTTTTTTATTATATAGTCTGGTTTAATTTTGCGATAAGGATATGTGTAATTTTAGCATTTCAGGCATTGAATAATTCAAAAGCAATACTGGGACGATGGTAGAAATTGACTTTGTAATTGAGACAACTTACGGATTGGCTACATATTAGTTACAAAAAAAAAATATAAACAAGTTGTGTTCGGAAAATCACCAAAGCGAACCATTCTTTTGTAGTTTACATACTTGTGTTTATGTGTGCCGTTTACATTGTGTAAACATAAACTTATACCTTCACTTTATTATTATACCTAACTTTCAAATATATTTTAAAAATGTTCATGAAAATTATCATGAATCTGGAAGATGTAAACCATAACAATATCCTCTATCCACAATTGTGATTGTAACATGAGTAATTGAATTTCACATACTGCCACTAATTTATTCTTTGTTGTTAATGAAGATTATTATCAAGCTGTCCCAATTATGAAGTAACAATTTCTGTGATAAGTATAAAGAAAAAAATGTGAGAGTTAGTCATCATTAGACATGTAATTATAATGAAACTGTTCGGACGAGTGACAAACAGCAATTTTGTATTTATGTGTATTTAAAATGAAAGTTTTGACTTTATAAGCCTGCAAGCAATAAAATATCTGTGTTGCAATTTCAAATACATTTTCGTTTACTTTACTTGCACTTATTTGAATTTCACATTGTACAAATATTAAAATAAAATCCTTCTAGTCTTAAAACCTTTTTTCGAAAATATGATAATTAATGTGATAAACAAGATCAATATTGAAAGGCGGCGCTCAACGAACGCAACTCCATTCAACTCAGCAACAAAAATCAGTGGCAATGAACCCAGGCGGATCCCAAACACAGACAGGACAGGGCAGAAGGCAGAGAGTACGACTAAAATTATGTATTAAAAATGGAACCACCCGCTTATTGGTATTTTAGTTAAGTCAATTATATAAATTAAACGATATGCGAGAACAGCGTATGCTTTTATCTTTTCTTGGGAACATATGCATTATTAACTAAGTTATACGAGAAGACTCATAAAATGTTTTTATTGTACACGTACGTAACGTCTTTCTTCTTTTACAAAATGTTCCTCTACAAACACACGTGCAATCACGTCTGGCAGTCTGTCGTCCAGCATGTTAATACAGTACTCCAATCTAGAAGGATTATAACCGCCTTCGACCTGAAATTATATTTAAACCAAGATCAATATACGAAGGCCGTCATAAGCCCTATGAAGTTTTGAACAAAAAATTGTACTAAGTATTACAACCTTAATATGACCAGATATAAGCTTATGCGGCCGACGGCGAAATCGCCATTTTACATTATCGCCAACAACTGAGTAAATTGGAATCGACGTTAAAAATCTTGTTAATGCTATAACGATGCCATTAACCGTATGTGTGAAACTCTATAAGATGCCATCATCTAGAAGAATATTTGTCTGTACTTCATTAAGTACTAAAATAGCAAGGTATGTCGCTGATGAAGTCGAGCAGGAGGTTTTCAGTTTCTGCTTATAGACATAAATAGCGAAACAAGCACGCTGTCAATCTAACAATGATGAACAGTAAAGCCAGCTAAAACATTAACAATTTTAAAGCAAAACAAAAATGTAATATCTTTGCAGTTATCAGAAATTTCTATCTTTAAAAAAGACTTTGTTGAGAATTAAAGGACAATTTTTGAAAGTAATGTATAAGTAGTTGGTTTGACGTCAAAAGTGTATCCTACACAAAAGTGAGATTTTGCAAATGTGAGGTATTTACATGTCATATGACGTTATTATGACATTGAACTTGCACTGCACAGCATTGCAAAGAATTTTGTAGGTTGTTATGTGTTATCAAATTAAATAGTATCACGATGAATCTAGCTTTAGCATATTCAATCGGCAATTGCGTATAAAATATCAATAATAAAATAAAAGCAAAATTCAAATCTCCTAACATTGACTGTTTTCTACAATTTGATTTGATTTCTTTGGCACCAAAATTGGATCAACTTTATAAAAGAAAGTGAAACTACATTCAGGATAAAGGATTTGCCTCCAGTTAAAAATCGTTATTTGACACCAAGAAAATGTCATTATTTCCATTCAGACACTGCTAAAATATGCATTTAAAGTGAAATAACAAAACTTACAAAAGAAATAAAACTAAAGCCAATATTAGTAATACGGTAGTTTCTCTGTTATTTTTCGTGATGCTTGTTGCTTCAACACGTTATTATAAAGATACATACCTTTTCAATTTTTTTATTTATATTTGTATAAATTTGTGGCAAAAATGAGAGCTCTGTAATTACAGCACGTGATAGTAAATAACTTGCTACCATCCTGAAATAATTGCAGTTTCTGTTGTATTAAAGCGGTATTAAGGGTATTCCAAATTAATAAATAAAAATATATAGATTAATAAAATGTAAACTTTCAGATGTAAAGTAAAAATCAACAATACATGTCATTAATAAATTAGAAAAAGGGAAACCAATCTACAAATCATACTAAGATATACTGTTAACTGTAAGAAAGTAAGTCCGCTTAAAGTGGAAGGTCTGAAATACAACGAATAATTGAGTCGATAGAATTAATGTTCATTCAGAGAACAAACTAGAAAAGAAGTATACATAGATGTTGTTGGCAAATGTGACACACTGTTCAACACTATTTGAAATACTAATGGACATGTGCCAATTTTTCAAAATGTTCAATTTCGCACACAACTTGGAATATAAACAAAAAGGTATATCAGCAAGTTTTGAAACTAGGATTTGCTTTTAAAATTATTTAGAAGCACATCATTTAAATATATCATAATCAATTGAGTAAAGAATAAAAAACAACAATAACAACAAAACAACAACAAAGATAACATTATTAAGATCAAAAGCTCACTTTCAAGTGTTACTGGCGGAAACAACGAACCAGATATCATTTTGTATTTTTTCTTGTTAGTAGCCAAAAATAGATACATATGTACCTGTGTAGAACCATATAACTTGAAATGTATTGGCAATCAAAATTCAAAAGTATTATCAATTTAACTATTTATTAACTGTGTGAATTATGTTGTGTATTGTATTTGTAATGAGATTGTGTAATGAAATCATTCATATTCAAATAAAAATTATGTAGAACAAAAATGTACCTTTATTGGAATAAAAACTTATTAAAATAAATGCATCATTTGGTGCGTTTTGTAAAACAATAAACACCAGTTTAAGTCGTTGATGCAGAACTGTAATAAAACTGTGATTAAAGAAGAGTACAAGTGCAATTATTACAAGACTAAGCTAAGTACGGTTACCATGGGTGCCTCAGGGCTCTAGCTTTTGTCTTTAATCATAAATACAAAAACAAGGGAAAAAGGGGGCATAAGTGAAGGCAAAAGGATTACCTGTAGTTATAGTTCAATACATCTGTGTCAACGTTTCTGTTACATTGACCTCATAAATGAGGTTTGGTTAAGTAAATTATCACACTAAAGAAACTGCTATAAGGATAAATATACATTTTTATTTGAATATAAACACGTTTATTTTAGGCTACCAGTCAAAAGATATAACTCGTGAAAGACAAATCATAATTAAAAAAAAACATAAAAAATTGTTTGTTTTTATTTTCAAGATTCAATTAATGTGTGAACGTTCAAAAATACAAACACGTTTTGAATTATTCCCATATCAAAAAGATAAGGCAGACAAGTATTATTACATGTTTTATGCATAACATAAAACAGAATAAAACTTAGTATACCTTAAAATAAACTAATAACATATTTTAAATGTTTCAACACATCAATACGTGATTACTACATGGGCGGTTTGACAGGAACGATCATTACTGTATAAACCATCAGTAGTATGGTAACTTCCAGTAAAGCAACAATTGCATTTCGTGAATTATTTCAAAACGTAATGAGTAGGATGATACAAATGAATCTTGATATACATTTGATACAACAAGAAATACATTATATTTACCTTTTCGGATAGTTATTGAGCACATTGTAAATGTTATTTATATATCTGACGCTATTTAAGTTTACAACATCTGACGATTTCGTCGATAACTCTCCGTGCTGGAATATTCCCTTAACGATTTTCTTGAGATCAATCTAAGACGAAAACAATGTTTTGTTTTTGTTTTGTAGTTTTTTAAATAGACAAAAATGTATTTGCATCTGCTTCATTGTTAGCTTATTTTCAAATTTGCTCTCTGACTTTGTTTAAGACAGGTTAAAGTATCAAAATATCAAACAAATAAATTTAATGGTCTATTGTGCATTTGACTCTTAATATGAATTTCTAAGAGGCAAATTTATAAACTTAAATAGTTTTTATAGTTTTAAATTTGAAAGAAACATCTAAATATACAAGCTAAACTAACTCGAACGTTAATGAAACTACTACAATCATATTGTCTGACCCTTTTTGAAATTCATTTGTTTTATTACCTTATCCCCGAATTTGTTAAGCTTCTTAATTGGGACAGCTTTATAATAATCTTTATTTACATAGCTTGAAATCTGAAACATATCAAGACCAGATCTATACAATTAAACAAACAGGTATAATTATCACTAATATAAAGTGCACCAAAACAATGATGTATTGGCAACATTTCCGTATCATTTTATCAGTTGAATGAACGAGTTTTTATTCATATAACGCCAGAATCAAATTTGTGTACATGTAGACAGCATTTTGTCAATACTTGATATTCAAGGATAATTACATTCAGTAGCACTAGTAAAGGTCATATGACGACTTTCTAGCTTACCCAGTGTGGGGGAAGGCAGGCATCAATTTGCTAACTGTGCATTATTTCAGGCAAGCAAACAATTTCCTGAAAGAAACCACCGACGTTCCGTCAGCTAATTGTCTGACTTTCAAACATGAAAAAATCCAAGGTCCCTTGCGAGATACAGACGTATGGCGGTGAGAGGCAAGTTGTTTTAAATCAAACGTCTTAACCGCTTAGTCAAGAACGCCCGCAACACTGTATGCAATAACACAATAATTTATTAATAATATAGTTCTTTACTAAATTGTAACATAAGAACGTACATTTGCAAGTTCAATCTCGAGGTTGACAATTTCTTTAGAATACTCGGTTGCTGTGGTCTCATCTGCGCCAAATGCTTGAAATAATTCCTGAACATACGTCTTGTACGGCGACAAAATACTCTTATCGCGTCCTTCCAGATAATATGATAAGACTGGCTCAGGAAATCGTGGATAATAAATCTACATAATTATATAAAAACATAAAAGTTAAGAGTATATGTCAACATTTCCTGAAAGGTATTAAGTTTCTTGAAAAATAATAATACATGTTACACAATTGAAGAATAAGCTAATAATACACGAATTGAGTATAACAGTATATACTAAATGTTGATGAAATGTTATAAGTTTGATAAAACAAGTACCCATGAATGTTTGTATTACTTGTTTGACTTACACTAAGTCGAAAGCGTTCTTCGTTTTCCACAATATCTTTACTGAAATTAACATTAAATATCGGTAACGATGACGTTATTTGCCAGCATCTGATGAAAAGGTCTTCAAAGGAATAACCATCAGAGTCCCATTTTCCCCCAGGTTGTGATCCTAATAATGGTAGCCCTCCTAACTCTTCCATAAGATTATGTAGAGGGACATTTTTAAGTTTTTCAATCTGATCTAAAATATAACCCAAACAACGTGTTTCTGTCAATTATAATGCTTGATTTAATCAAATCATTTTATACACAATACAAGTGAAATGGTCATTTAAAGTTTAGTGTTGTTGTTTTTTCTTCTTCATCATCATTTTACTTTGAACAAAACGACAATTAGCATGGCTAATGATACGAAACTATATAATTTTATGTTGTACAAAAAATCAATTAAATATTGTATAAGCTCACCTGTATTCATGCAGGCTTTATAAAATCCCTTTGCTTTTTGAACTGCTTCAATTTCATTTCCATCACTTGGTTTTTCCAATTCAGCTTGTATATTAGAAGATTTGTGATGATAATAAAATAAAATAAAATCAATATATGATTAGATGCATATATGTTACTAGACTGATATTTTTGCATTTCTAATCTTACTGTTATATCATTACTGTTTGTTTCTGACATTTAAGAAATGTGCAAGTAATTAATTACAGTTAATATAAAAAGCAGTTCTACTTTTATCCTAGACAAAATGACTAGTCTGATGTTATGTATTGTACCAGTGTGTTCTTGTATTAATATAAGAAGATTATAATAAATGGACTGCTTGAGACTTGCCCTACTTACATTTGACGAGCATCAGAATATCCTCTCGTAGCAAACTAATGGTGCTAATAAAATGTTCATCGTTAGGAATAGGGTTTTGTTTTAACCATTTTCCACAAGTAAACTCATAGAAATCGTCACACGGGTTTACATCTTTGTCTATTGATGAAGTTATTCGTGCAGCTTCATTAAAACAAAAACGGTAACTCTGCTTATTTACTGAAATAATTTCCTTTCCTATTGTTTCTTGATAACACACAAATAAGGTTACATTCTCGTTAATAGCCAACACTGTTAACCTTTTTTAAGTATATGAAATGCAAACAGGTAATACTAGTTTTATCGTTTGCCTTTCCCTTTGATTAAGAAGTAAAGGGATCAATATTAATTTATATACTAGCACTTAACGTGTAAGCAATCATCAATAATGTTTGATTAAGTGAAAGCCTGGTTTATGTTCCTAAATTTAAAAAGTTTGTGATTTTATATATCATTTTACTGAATGTTATAAACAGCATATTGTTATATATCAGACAAAATAAATGGCTATCTACAATATCATATTGAAATAATAATAAATTTATTTTAGAACAAGAGCTGTCACGCAAAAATGTGGAGAAAGTCCCAAATATAAGTTTTTGTTAGTATTGCAAAATTTATTGCGAAAAGAAAACGAGAATAAAGAAAATTGATTGCTTAATATTGTTATGGTAAAAATTATTTTAAACTCCTTTCATTCATCAAAAGTCACAGTCCGGGAACGAATATGTGTACATATGGCCTTGACCTAGGGGTAGGGATATGGGACTTTGACGCGCCACATCATCACGATGTGATAGACATATATGCTAGCTTATTTGAAAAAGATTTGTATGCATGAAGGTTACAGTCCGGACACGAATGTGTGTATAATTCAACTCCAATGGTGTACGTGTGAACCTTCAAACTGTAAATTTGGCATTGACTTTTGAGCTTGGGTTATTGGTTGTAGACAAAACACGGCATCATTATGTGTAAGGCATTTGTGCCAAAGTATTTTAAAATCATTCAATGCAAAGAAAACACAGTCCGGACACAAACTTTGTGCAAGACTTGGGACGCACAGACATACTGACAGACGAGACGATATGGATATGCGGCCCTCCGGGGGCATACATATATCATTTTTTGTTGGTATAAAGTTGTATATAATAGAAGCAGTAAAACACAAATACCTTCTCGCACACAGCCTGGCTTTAGACACACTTCTTCTATAAAACAAAATATCTTAATATGTAATATTTTTAAAAAATCGTGAAGCTGGTCATTTAACTTTTTTCAAATAAACGCAATATATAAAGGGTATCAAACTGTTTTTTTTCTATACATTTATAACTATAAGCATCAAGTATATACAAAAGTATGGAAACATTATTATTTAATTAAAGAACAAATTCAAACATGTCAGTAATAAAATTATTTTCTTATTAACAATTTAAAACAATGAAGTTATCTGACCATCTAAAGGATAATGATAAATAATTAATGTGACTTATATGCAGATATAAGTATGCTGTAGATACTAATAAATATATAACTACACTTTTGTATTATTCAGAACAATAAACATTGAACACAGCAAATGTATAAACGTTCATTTAAAACATGCACACATTATACATTTGCTTTTGAAAAGTTTTAAAATGGTCAACATTCTTTTGCGGTATAGATTTTAATGGTATATTTTGGACAAAATTCTTTGACGTGGTATCCATCTAATGTTTGATGCTCTAACTATGTTCTCGCTGAAAATATGTGTATTATTTAACACTTATGAATATGTTGGTAGATTGTATAAAATTAAACACAATGTCATACATCTTCTTTTTGTAGGTTTAACCGTTTAGCATGAGCCATTGCTGTAACCTTATAAGGAAATATACAATAATATTTCTCTCATACATGAATTTTGGAAGCTATATTTTCCAAAATTGATTCAATAATTTTGTATATCAAAGGCAATATTTGTAGAGTTGTATGCACGTTAAAGCAATTCGCCAGCATTAATCACTTTCTGTTGGAAAAGAAAAATATATATCATTGTTTGACGCTTAAAATTTGAGTCAGTTTATACATTTAAGTAAGTAACGCGTAATTTTACGTAATAAATTGAAGTTATCATACACGTGTCTGCCATGTAAAACATATATATGTATAATTTATTATGAATTAATTATACTTACCTTCCTCTAGAACAACCTGAGATAATCAAAAATAGTTGGATACACCGTGACACAACATTATACATAACCTAATAACTATAGAAATAACTATGCTAACGTTCTATTTAAAATAATGAAATAATTATGTTGATGTTATTTATGTTAAAACGTCAGCCTAATTTTGTAAAAGTGCAACTCATAGACAATACTTTGATTTTTTTATTTGACTAAAATATTCAAACTTGTAAAAAAGAGCATACTGATTGTATACAATTTAATAAAGGAAGTAATATTTGACAATAATTATGCACGCATGCACTAATATGTATTATCCCTTATATCTTACCGCTTGTATGGCTGAGCTGATGTAAGACAACCTTAACCCTGGTATATTCTTCTTCTGACACCCCTTCTTTACATAAGAAAGTCCAAACATCTGCCATTTCTTATCGATTTTACAAATCACTGGGGCACCAGTGTCAGTCTGTCATACAAATGATATATATATGATAAAGTGAGGAGCTATCAGCAGTTATGCCGTTAAGACGAGCAATGGTTTGAAACTAACCCAGGCCAGTGTTCTTTAAAAGTGGGAAATAATAAAATTTGATATGATAAAAGGTACGAAATTATTAAGAAATGAAATCATTTGGTTAATATATTATGGCAATGTTAAAGTAATACGATATAATATCAAAACACAAAGCATCTTTTTCGTATACAATACTGCATTATATCGGGTTGTTTGTTTGTTTGTTTGTTTGATTTTACGACGCACTTACACAAGCTATGTCGAAACAGGAACAAAGATATCTGATTCATTGTAAAACACTAAAACAAGAAAATTTATACTTCAAATAAATTTCAATTGGAATGGGAGTCTTGATATTTGTCAAATATGTTTATACCTTGCAAATAGAAGCACCTTTATCAACATCAAAACGAAAGTCGTTCTTGCAGGTTTTGCTAGAACATTTCCCAGATGATTTTGTTTTTACACGAACTTTCGTGACTTTCTTCCCATCATCTAAAAAATATAATTTATTGTAAGAAACTTGCACCGAAAATGACAATGACACGTTATGACGTTATCTTATTTCTATCAAAAGATTGGAATATAAAACAAAATCTTTATAATTATGTACTGACGCAGGTGCAATGAAACGGCCGGGTCAGTGCAATAAACGGTGCCTCGGAAGATAAAAGTATCATCAAATAGATGTATAAAATTTCATTTTTATTCTATGTAAGTATGTATTTCCACATTATCACAAGTTCGATTATCATAACATAACAAGTCATTTTGTGAAATTTAAAATTGCTCTGAAATATGATACGCATAAAAGGATGAAATGGTATGACAAACAAAATATAGTGTACCCGTAAATCCAACTAATAAACAATCATTCTCCTTGTTAATGTCTTTATCTTCATTGCTGTCACTTTTAATTTGTAACAATTTCTTTTGCACTTTTTCCTCAAGTTCCAATAAAATAACAGCCGCTTTTTCCTGTTTTAAATCCTGAGCAAAACAGATAATATTTGTTTATACATAAATCATTTTAAAACTTAAAAGATAATTAACTTAGAACAAACAAACTTGTATTATGTATGCTAATGCTGAAAAAAAGGGCAGCGTTTATTATTTAAAACATAAACTATTGATATAAATGTATAAAATATGAAGTTAGTACATATTTGTATGGAAATTAAAGCCACAAAATGTTCTTTGTTTTAAGTTTCATCTCATGAGAATATTGCATTTTTCGGTGATTTGCCTTTGATTTAATCAGTTGTTTTACGCCAATATCATGGCAATGTTCCATTTCGCAGATAACCCACGTTTCTTTAAAAAAAGAATGTGCTCTTTTTCTTTTGAATAAAGTGCCATGTTTGTTCAACTGTTTCATGAAAAACTGTGGCCCTAGACAAATAAAACTGTCTTGACTGTATCAAAACACAGACTAGATAACGTCCAGGTATAATTTTGCTTTTGACGGACGTATTTGTATTGTAAAACTTCATATCGTTTTTCTTACATATAATTTGGTGGTAGGCATCTTCTTGTACAGTCCTTAAAATTTGACGGTTAGCGTAGAATATGGGCGTCACAAGAATTCTTATATATGTTGATCATGCAACAAAACAGTTACATATATCGAACCTGGTTGTCATTTAGAAATAATATGGCCTGGTATTTTCCTAGAATTTTCGCCACAAAAACAACAACTTTCGTAAAGTTTCGATCACATGTTGAGAAAGACCCTCCATGCCACTATAGAGAAGGATATATTTGCAAAACTTTACTAGTGTCTTTGCTATAATATAACTTTATTGTATCAGTTTTAATTTGAGAATATTTTTTTTTTAAATATGCAATGATAAACAAAGTTACCTGATAATTCTTTATTTTAAGTTGAAGAAACTTTTCTTTGTCACCTTGCATGAACTGTACTTTGTATTTTGCCAACGAACTGCGAACATTTAACAGCATCATTTATTTGAACTTATTTATGTTTGACATACTTAATAAAGATCCTAAATTAAGCTTGTAAAACTGTGATGGATTGAATAATACATATAGTATCATTTATATATCATCATTACCATGTGTATATTCAGGACAAAATGTAAACATATTTTAACTAAATAAAAATAAAAAAGATGTTCTGCCCTTTATTTCACAAATATTTTGCAAATTTAAAACAGGAAATTTGTAACTTGGTAGATACAGTAGGGTGAACGTTTCGGTTGTCTCAAATAGCTTTTTTCGTGCGTGCATTTTTCGTAAATCGTGATTGCGTATATCGTGCAACGTGCGTCTGATAAAACGCTTTCTCAAGCGTGCATCGTTTGCAAGCGTCTTTCGTGAAACGTGTTTTTAAAATGCCATATTAATTTTGTTTGCCTATATGTAAATGATTTACTGTGACAGGACACTCCTAAGCTTTTATTGCTTTTTGCCCAGTCCCAAATGTATTATTATACAAATATCGAATAAAATATGTTTTAACCAAATGTCTTGATCCTTGATTTACAAAGCTTTCTCAAGTTTCATTTGATTTTGTTTACGGCGAAAACGGCGTCGACGTTATAGACGTCTATTTGAGATATACATGGGCTTAAGCAAAGTATTTTTAAGTAATGTGCATAAAGAGGAACCCTTAAATTATTTTTTAATATTACCGCATGATATGTTTTAATTTCAAAAATCTTCTGTGGAGACGGTTGAGTGCATATTATAGCTGTAACATCAGTCCGTTTTAAGTTCATGGTTGTCTAGCTATCATTTAATTAATTTGCTAAACAATCTAGCTAAATGTTATTATAAACTTATATGATAAGGATATTTTATTAAACGTTTAGAAACATTTTTATTGTGCGTGCGTTTTATCGTGTGTATATCGTTTAGCGTATTCCGTTTAACGTATATCGTATTGCGTACGTCTCCGTATTACGTTTCGTTAAGTGTGCGTGTAACGTTCGTTCGTATAGCGTTTAACGTGTATGCGGTTTTTCCAGAGCGTACGTATTGCTTGTAAACTGAAACGTTCATCCCACTGTATAACTTAATAAGAAACTCATAAATAAAATAACATTCTTTTCCTTTTCCATAATCAACATTTAAGCAGATGCTCACCTCTCGTCAATACATTTCTTCAGTGTTAAAACCCATTTTTTGTCTATAAGAACACCAGTGCAAACCTGCTTCCCTGATTTCTCAATTGTAGCCACATATGAATAACTTTCGTCGTCAACAGTCTTGCCATTCTTTATTCTTGATTCATTTTCGTGAGGACTGCATGACACTGGCACCGTTACTTTAAAAAAAAAATTAAATCGAAATCCTTTAATCAGTATATTTGAATATCAAATAAATCTATGTTCAAAGGACAAATATTAAAGTAAATACAATATTCTATAATAAGAGCAGTGTAAGCATGCACGTTTTGGTTAATTCAACAAACAGGTTGCATTTAAATTGACAAGGAAAAAACATTTATTAAATCCAAAGTCTGATTATTTTGACAAATTGAATGCTGATTTTTTGGTATGCATATACAATTATAAAATTATTAAAGACTAGAATATTTTCATATTAATTTCTCGTTATCATGAATTTTAAATTAAACACTAAAGTATAATCAAATACTTTGAATAATATAAATTCAGTTAAAATAGTACATCTTAAAAAAGTGTCTTTACATACTACTTACTTCTCCTGTTTTGTCTACCCAAACGAACAAAACAACATATTAGGTAGTTACAAGTTAAATGTTGATGCTGCACATAAAAGACGCCACCAAATGATATGAACAGTCAATCAGCATTGAAAATCGTTCCCCTTTACAGTAAAATATCCGAAGCACAAATCGTTTTTCTCCATATTCTTGGAATGTGCTCGTTGTTTAATAATATATTTTTTTGCGACAAAATAGAACCTAATGCATAAATTCGCAAAGTAATGTCATGTCTGAAACTCTTGAATTTGTGTCTTTTGTGGCAAATATTGAAACGTCTGGTCGAAGCAAAATAAATTGGATTAAAAGTAAAATTGAAATGAATATATCTATTTAATCATTGGTACGAATTGCATGATGTTCGAATGATTTTTAGGACGAACTGTTCTGCAGAGACCTCCCCTTACTAGCCGTAGCGTAACCGGTCTACTTTCCTAACGGTTGAGGGAGAACCGCCTCTCTGATAGTGGGCGTGGTTAAGGCTTTGTAACTTGTAGTTTAATGATTCTTCAAGTGATATTGATCAAAGTTGTCCTGATTCCCTTCCTCCCCGTCATCGAAGACTAAATGCTAGCATACGGAGCATCATATTACGCAACAATTTGAGGCGGAGCAAATTATCTCAAAATCCGCCGCATACAGTATGTCACATGCATACCTTTTCGGAAAGATCTTCAAAAATGAATTGATTTAAAGAATAAAAATGATATGTTGCGCATTATGCAAGAGAGAACATGTTCGTAGTTGTTGTATATAGAGCTAGTAACAGCTTTTCCAAGACAGGGTTTCACGATGATTGATCGGATCTTTTCCATGATGTGTTTTTACGTCCGCACCAAAAGGGATCAGTTAGTATTAAACAGCGACCGCTGTAGTAAGAAAACGCACTACAAAATTTGGTTCCCCGCTTCGTTTTTTGATAACGATAACATTGTTATGAAGACGATTTTGTTTTAATGAGTAAATGTTAAAGGCATTTTATACTGCGAATGATGTTTCACTTGTTTTGATTAAATGTTGAACATTTTATTACAAATGAATTAACACATATTCGGTAGCTTCCTTTAAGGAAATGGTATTAACGCAAAAATTATATCTTACTTTCTTACGTTACATCGTGCTTTCTAACTTGTACATCTTGCATTCTGACTTGTACATCTTGTTTTTTGACTTGTACATCTTGCATTCTGACTTGTACATCTTGCATCAATTTTACATGTTAGAAAGCACGATGTAACGTAAGAAAGCAAGATGTAATTTTTGCGTTAATACCCTTCCATAGTTCTTACACTGAATACCTAATGTTGATTTAAATATATGATTTTGAATTAAAATGTTAAATATATTTTGAGGGAAATCATATCAAATTTCAGAATGAAACAAGAAAAAAGTGTATAAAAATAAATTTAAATAAAGGTATAACAAAGATATATTTCAAAATATCTTTATAATTATAAATATACGAAATACACTAAGTCTTGATAATAACCAAAATCTAACATCAAATTCACTATCGCAAAAGTAAAAATGGAAATTGGAATGTCATAAAGCATAATAGGTGAACTGGCGGTTTATCCCTTCCATATAAACTTATACGTCTGAGTGTTTACACGTCAACTTATACTTTTGAGTGTTTATACGTCAAGAGTAAAACAGTATTATTGTATGTAAATAAGTGAAGAATGAAAATATATATAAAATCACTGTAATTCTTTGCAGATTTTTATATAAAAAATACTTACATAACGTAAAGTAGATACAAATTTTTATGAAATCCATTTAATATCTGTAAACTTACATAAACTTAAGAATTAGCAATTATTATATGAGGTGTTTTTATAACTTTGAAGCCATATACGGAGGAATGGCAAAAGTAATATTAAGACATGTATTAAATTCATTAATGATTATTTTACAATGCGTAATTTATCATGCCGGTGGCATTATCATATGTAATGTTAGTAATTGGTATAGTAAAACCGTTATCTTTGTGTCTCAATTATAATACAAATTATCTTGTGTAACAATCATTGGTCAACAACTGAAATATCTCGAGGCGTTTATAAATCGCACTAGGAGATATCGACTGGTCAAGAAATTGTAATAATATCAAGGTTTTGCGTATAAACAAGGTGTCATTATGCCTTACAATTTTGACAACTAAAATTTTGATGTATGAGTGGTTAATTGACCTTCAATTGTTGACCTTTGATCTTTAAGTAAGGGGTCTAGGTCATGCAGATTGCAAATTCTTCTAGCGTGATTCACATTTTGGTCAAGTAATATTAAAATTCATTGAAACATGACTGAATAACTGGCCAGACAAAATAGCTGACATATTAAATTGACCCTGGATGACATGGTTATGTATGGATGCGCTTATTTCATACTTGTAGCTTTGGCCTTTTCATTAGTATGTTAATATCTTTTAATTATTCCTTTTGCGTTCAAACTTATACACTGTCAAATGGTTGCCAGTTGATATGAATTGTGACCTTAAACCTTAGAAAACTAAGGGTCTGTGTGTTCTTTTTTCCTTTTTTAAGATTTATGTTTTATTACCTTGATTATATAACCCAGTATTTCCTTTAATTCATGACTAAGTTATAGGTCGGGCAAACACATAAAAAGCGGACAGACAAACAGGGGTAATGCTTTGTTCCCATGTCATCATGGCGGAGACATTGAAACTTTTTGAAAGTAACAATGGTGTAAATATACAACTCTATCCAAACTTATTACAAACAGTTGCATTGTTTTATGTTTATGACATAAAACTCTTTTGAGGTTGATTTTAGTTATAAAATATTATAAAGACCAAAGAAATGTTCTAATAAATATCTTATTTGTGAAGAAATATTATTAAATATCCTTAAACTTATAAAATCATTTCCCCTCTATACAATCCATCCAAAAGTACGGGGAGAAAAGTACAATTTCATTTAAATAACACATATGGTTTATCTGAAAGCATTTATACACATACAACGAACATAAGATGCCGATATGTCCAGATGTACTATTACATAAAGCTGTTGTAATGTTGTTTTGCGTAGAGAAACTACATATACTTATGATATTTAACACACAGATCTTCTCCATCGTCATAACGAGGCGAATGATAGAAGACAAAATAATGATTATACTGATATTTGACAATGCATGTTAACAAGAAATGTACAACTAAGAAACAGGTCTTACTGCCAGCCAGTGTTCTTATTTATAGCATACATAGTTTTGTTTTGGATCATACGCCCGTGTCTCATGTAATGACAGTTGGTGTCGCGTTGAAGGTTCCATTATAACAGCGGTCTAAATACACCATTTAGAAATGTTTCCTTTATACAAATTCATCGTTACCTTGTTTAGAATGTTAAATACTGCCAGAGAAGATGCTATGTAGAGTTGGAAGTAGCTTTCACTTGATCAAACCGATCCTGCAATATGTTTGTATGTTGCTGTTTTACATGTTCATTCCGATTTTATCAAATTGAAAAATATTAGGGTTAAATCATTGTATCTCGGTTGTGTTTATCAAAGTTAACAAAATCGATTAAACTTTAAAGAGTGTTTACAATGGGTTATGCGAAATAATTTCAAAATGCCAACAGTGGTATATAAACAATTACACTTATTATTATAATATATAATTTTTTTAGCGTCCATTATTAACTGTTCCATATTAAAATGCACTTATAATTATATTCACGAATCTCATTTTTATATTAGATCCGACATTGTTTTGACCATTAGGCAATGTATCTATTTGGTAAAAGCCATTCATTCTTTTTTCATGGCAATGCAATTACGGGCTGGTCGGTAGGGCTCCTTAACTAATATTAAAATAAGATCGATATTCTTTGTTATATGGAATAACATTAATAATGTTCCTGGAAATCTATATAAAAAGTCACATTTCTCAAATATATCTGTGCGTATCTTACTTCCAAATGCCTAATTCAAATGTTCACAAATCACTCATTAAGAATGGTTATTTTTCTCCAATTGTTTCACTAACATAGTAACAGTTTTTTTCTCTATGTCGCAGCTCAAACGAAACAAAGGGCTCGTTGATTCTTCAGTGAAAAAAGACAAGTATGCGCTACTCAAAATATTTATTCTTCCCTACAACAAAACCGTGGCCTGCGCCAACAATTTCTCAATTCAAGTGCGCATGCGTTGTGCAGATTAGCGGGGAAATTGAAATGTTAGCTAGAAAAGTTAATCGAAGATATTGAAAAGGTTATAAAGTACTATTATATATAGATAACTGCTATTGGATATGAGGTATGAGCTATGAGTATATGAATTAAAGAAATAACTACGGAAAACAATAAGGGACATGGATATTAACACATAAATATACAGAGACCGGCATGGTCACGAACAGACCAAAAATATACAGCACTTGGCAAAACGGACAATGTATACTTGACCCTGTGACATCTTGAACTTACATCTGTTTGAGGATTTACACAAAGTGTGACGATATTAAACGAGATGCTGCATTCATAACTGATTGTCTCTAATATCAGAAATTTATTAATCATTTCCCGAGAAATAATTGACAAAAAGACATTGTTTTTCTTTAGATGGCTTGTTTTGTAGTCTACTGTTAACAACGCTGTTATAATGATTATTTATTGACACATGGTGCCAAGACTTTATAAGTAAAGCCTTGTTTATGACTCGTGTGATTCATGCATTCATTATTTAATTATATGATCCTTATTTGACCGATGTCAAAGATATGAGTTCAAAAGAGGATCATATAGCATAACAGATCTTCATACCTGTACAAATTGGAATATAAATGTTAATAATCTTAAACTATTCGTATATTTACTATTCTAAATTTGGATATTTGTATTAAAACATGATCAAGTGCTAACAGTAATTAAATATGCCAAGAAAAATGCTAGTTGTGTAAATATTTATCAAAGTGTTAAAAACAATGAGACTTTGTCTTGTATTGTAAGTTCACTCATGTCAAGAATTTTGTTTGTTTGGGTTTACGGCGCATCAACACAATTAGGTAATGTTGCCCCGAAACAGGGTGGATGATTTGGCTAACATTGGATGTTAGAAACTTATTAAAGTAACACATTGGGCAAAAAACTCATTTGCAGTAGGCACAGTAGCTAAATTTTTAATAGAATCCAATTATTTGAACGTATTAAGTCGAATTTACGATCACGAAGGGATAAACGGTATTATCAATTGAAATTCCGTCTGAAAATTAAATAAATGCAGTGACAACCAAAAAAGGATTTTTGTTGTTGTTGTTGTTTGTGTTTTTTTCATTACAATGAATAATAAATTTGTTTGTGTAGATTTGTCGTTCACTCATTAAAATCATTTCCATGAGATGTTGAGATGTTTTAATAGTATAATGAACCAATTGACACAAATATAACCACTTTTTAAATTTTGTTTTGCTGTTTAGAAAAAAGGTTTTCCTGACAGTAACGTCCTTGTTCAGCCCACACAAACGGAAACGAGTTTTATAAAAAATGTTTAACACGCACGATGTTGCAATTAAAAGTAAAATGTTTGAAATGCTTTTTTAGAAGTTATAACTATTAAAATTTTTTTTTTTTTTTTCATAAAATTAAAATTTAAAATTTTTTAAACTTTAAATTTCCCAAAATTAAATAAATTTGTCCTTTAAAAATTGTTTTTTCATTGTGTCGCACTGACTTTTACGACCCCCAATTTCCCTTTAAAGGGCAAATACCTTATGAATAAAATTGGAAAAACACGGGCCCAAGTTCCTCCATATGTTTATCTTTAAAGGGGCTTTAAAGAAATTTCCCCGGAAGCCTAAAATGAATGTAGGTTTTAAGAATCATAATGCATTTGTTTATTAAATAAGATTAATTTTTAGAAAACGACACTCACATTTTCCGTATTCCTATTTAAAGATAATATAAATTCAAAAAAAAGTACATACCATAATGTAATTGATAATTGTAACAATGGTTTTACCTCTGACCCACATACCCCTCATTTCAATCCCGTCTTATTAAGCTAAGTTCTTTGTGAAAAAATCATTTCCCTCGAGTCAAAGGTTTTCTTGTTGTGTCACTAA